TTTAAATCCACCAGCAGTGACTGGTTTGTTGAATATGGAGCAACTGCATCAACTGACAACAGTGTTGATGTAATTACCGTCACTGCCAGCAGGGGGAGACAAACGCTCCACACTGCAGGTTTATAAAGGACTGGCTTTGCAGACTGGAGTTACTCTCAGGACTCTTAAACCCATCAGCAGGTGAAAAAAAACACTTTATAGTGAAAATAAAATCACATAATGTCTTCAAGATATGATGTTTGTATCATACCTGAGTCATCCTGAGTTCTCGCTTTCTTCATGTTGTTGTGTTTCCACAGAGCTGCAGGACTTTATGTTGCAGAGAAAAATGAAACCACAGTGAGGAAAAACATGACAGGAGCAAGAAAACAGCCACAAACTGCTGCTTGGAGTTCAGAGGTTAAATCATGTCATGTTGTTGGAAGGAACACCCACTGGATCTGTCAGATTGGCCACGCCTAGGAACAACAGCTGATAAAGAAACGTCACACACGTCAGATGACACTTCTGAAGAAGGCAACAGATAAGACGCCGAAACATGTCAAGGTACAACTAACAACTTTATACCATTTGTCCTATTACAAAGAAATCCTTAAGTATATTTGTACATTGAAGACAAAATGAACATCTTAGCTACTTTTTTGTCTGCATTGTAGAAATGCAAACAAACAGTCAGGCTGATGCGCTTCACTCTCTGAACCCAGAAACCCAGCAGCAGCTTTAAAAGCATCTTATCTTGTTGTTCAGGAAATAAAATGAAGCTGACAAGTGAAAACCTCAGAGTGACAATCAAGAGAACTTTACACAATAAAAAACTTTTTCTTTCAAAACTTTCATTTCACCGGTGTTCAGGACAATATTGATGATGTCCAGTCAGTGATTCTCACCACTGTTGGCCTGTTGGTGAGAAAGTCTCTAATCCATGAACACAGTGAGGTGGACAGTCCAGGTCATGAAGTCTGAGTCCCAGTTTATGGAAGATTACTGTGTTGAAGGCAGAACTGAAATCAACATAAAGCATCATGGGATAGGATGTTGGGATGTTCCAGATGAGACAGGAGGTGTGGAGCGTCTTAGAGGCTCACAGAAACATTCACTTTCTATGAATCTACTTTAACTTTGAGTATAAATCAATCACTAGGCAGCTACACGTCCCAAGTTTGGTAAAACAACAAACATGAGTTTTCCACAGAACTGTACATAATTTTAATTTCACAAAAAATATATAATGGACATTTCAAAACAAGTTTTGGGGGAAATGATAACAATAATGTGAAATTATATTT